CTCGAGGTTTCGCCCAACTTGGTGCAGCCACGGCGTATAATGCACGCCGAGGAAGCCGATCAAGGGGCATACGGAGGACATGGCTTAGACAACACAAGCGAGTACAATTTATCAAACACTCGAGCGAGGCACCAGAAGGTTTGTTTCCAAAAAGCAACTGGCAGACATCAACACTGCCCAAGCAGTATTCCCACCAAACGTGAGCAATACTTCGCAAGCACCGGTTATCAAAAACGATCAAGAGTTTAATGTCTATATTGCGAAGAGGTCATGTCTCCGATTCATACCGTATCACTGGCCTTATCACCATCGCAATGAGGCTGGACCTTACCGTGGTGCGATGGTTTGTGTGCCTCAGTGATCCATTGAGCTATGCTGGGTGGTGCATTTCTGCACCTTCAGAGCCACTCATACCAGATTAGTCAATGGTTAGAGGCCAGACAAACTCAGCCTCCTGGCACTCCAGGATGGGGGTTGGAATGAAAGTGGCTCCTTATTCTTTAAAACGGACTCCTTGTAGTTCAATGCCAAACCCGCTGCCATGCGGACAGGTTTTTGAACCAAAGGCTTTGGTTGAGAACCCTAATCGGTCTCTTGTCTAGGCCTGGGCAACCTGACAGTATCCTGCCCAAGCAATACTATGAATCTCACTTCAAACAAATTTCTGATGCTCTGGCCACCGCAGAGGATAATCAACCGTGCCCTAGCTGCTGCATCGAGCAGGGTGGATAGGGGTTTGGATGCTACTGCTCAAGCCTTCCCGTCTTCTTATTCTCCCTCTTACGCTTTTTCACCCTTATCGTCCCGTTCCAGCTTCACTTTTATCCCCCTGTTTTCAACCCCCCAATTCTCGGCCCTCCCCCACCTTGCTTCAATAGTCGCTTGTATTTTAGTTTCAACTCACATGTGAACGTGTAGCGTCATTCCTGCCCTGTCAACAGGCTCATATCCAAGCAAGCGGCCCCTACTACTCTTCTGTAACCATTCTAGTTCATCGGCTTACATTTGGAGCCCTCGATCTTCCTTCAGATTGGTTGCGGCACAGTAGCTGAGGTGTTCCCCACCTCTACCTAACGTGTATGATGATGATGATGTTGACTGGCCTTATCGCAGCGTTATACACCCTACCTTTCACTGGCAAGCTGATATCTCGCTGTTTCCATAAATGGTTGAGCTTCTGGAAAGCCACACAAGCCATGCTGATACGCGAAGTAACTTCCTCAGTGATGTGGCAGAGTGCCACAGGACATAGGTAACAATAACAAAAAGGAGAGTTAGAGGAATGGAAGCAAAGTTCCATGTGTTGTGTGGCCATTGGGCTTCTCAGTTGTTCAGGCCGAAGAAGAGGGTTGACTTAAGGGACCCCACCCCGAGCCTTTGATCTTAAAGACTTGACCCGCAAAACAGCAAGGTGATTCACGAAGACCGTTGACAGCCAAATAGCTCATTCGCCTTTTTGTGTTCGGAAGCAGTCCACAGAGAAGCCGGTGGCCAGCAAGGTTGTTCATCCGCCCTCCATTGGATACCCACCCCCAGTTACAGATGTGGGTGGTCAGTGACCTTATAGCCGGTCACATTGGCTTTGACACAGCGCCGAAAGAGCACTTGTGGTATTTAATGGAGAACCAGGTGAACAGCCCAGAACTCCCCACTCTCTGAGACGCTGCCGGTGATTGTCCGCGACTGCTTATTCATCTCGCCTGCAAAGCAAATGAGACTAATTCGCAGTTACCACCACAAAGAAGGCATTCTCCGATCCGCAATCTGCGGACGCGCCAGATAACGTACAGCTCCCAAGGAGAACTCCAGGTTTGTCAGTCGGTCGCCTGTCAGAACGTCCACTCCAGAATAGTCTGAAACAACTGAGTCATTCATGATCATTTCGAGCACAAAGTTGAAGAGGAAACGAGATATGGAACAACCCTGGCGAACCCCACTTGTCGTGGGTGTGGCATCTTCACGGCCAATGTACTGCGCCCTTCCTATTCGTTGAATGCATCTGATGGCGTGTGTCAGTAACCTGCTCACCCACTCATCGACTGGCCTAATTTAGAATACTGGATCGATGCGTTGTACAGCATACTGGTTAGAATCCGGTTTTACCTTCCGTTTACCAGACGTGTTTTGCACTGCGATACTTCGGCTAAGAGCCAGCCACTGAGCGTTAGTTCAGCAAGTGCTAAACTGTGACATCTGGAGAAAAAGGTTAAACCTGGAATTATTTACTATGAGTCATCTTACCCCGTCTAATGCCATTTGGAAGGACATGTCGTCCAAGCCATTGTTAACAGTTTGGAATTGTTAGAAACGAACCTTCTGTGACTACGAGCTTTTCGTAATTGCACACCCCACATCAAACATAGTGAGACCAAACCTAACAAAACACTGGGACAAAACCTCGATGCAGAAGGTCAACAGATTTTTGATGCGTTGCATTTGTAAGAGAGCACATCCCTGACGGACAGTTTTAACGCCCTGGATGGCCTGTGAGGACTGCGGCAACATGTTTCTAGGGCGCGCCTAAGTTTTTCTCAATTACGACAGGAAGAAAAGGAGAGTGTTAGGGAATTCATCAGTTGTATACAACAGTTACTTCCTGACTGCCGTTACAAACAAATTCTCGCAACCAAATTCGGAAAAACAATAGCGTTATTCGAGACGACAAAGCAGAATTCACAATGCAGCCGTCCGTTCAACCCTCTCACACGGTTGTGAAACCTGGCCCATCAGGCCGATGGACATAAATATGCTAGTCACATCCGATCATTGCTGCCTTCGTAGCTTAGTTCATGTAGTGGGAGCACCGCGTAAGCAGTGAGCGTGTTCGGCGTCGCGTATTTGGTGCAGGGAGAGCGTGTGAACCACTCAGCACCATTCTATCACGCGCCAGACTCAAATGTCTAGCTTAAGTGTTGCGCATGCAAGCACACCGACTCGCGCAACGTGCATTGTTTGCGCGCCGGGAGTGCGGTTGGAAGGAAGGTCAAGTGATGACTTGGTCGAGAGAAATGAAGTCCCGTACTTCGAAGTTGACGTCGGTTGGTGCATCCCGACTGCCTGGCTGGAGTCCTAAGGACGAGGGACACGGTTGATTGGACACATTTGCTGATATGGCGAAGAGCCGGCTCCAATAGCGTTTGTGTTGTGAGTTTCTTTGCTCATCATCTCACCTTGAGATTTCCCCTCCAATTCCAAAGTCATACGAAAGGCATATAATATTTAACATTATATTAGTTGCTTTTTGAATTCGTTGTAGTGCAGTTTTTCAGTATTTTATATTTGGTACTGTAGCACATTAGTTGAGGTGTGTTTCACGTCCTCAGCTAACGTGTTTTGATGATGACGATGACTCGTGCTCAAACACAAGTGGTCGTACGCTACGAACGCCCCGTCTCATTTATCGGCACCTATAGGGAGGACACGGGTGCTACCCCCGGCAGCTGCATCAGATTCCACGACCTAATCCCGCAATAGGCTGGCCTGCGATGGATAGTTATCACGTAGCTCGAAGAGTCACTCAAGGTTCCCTTCTAGGAGGTGGACTGTGTAGCGACCAGGAGTACGATGTGTAAAATATTATAAAAACATAGTTTTACCTTGTATCTAGACAAAGTAGAGAGCTTGCCTGTTGGATCGGGTTTTCGAGTCAACCAGACGGATCGCAGTTCGTGCGCTTCCGGCTTTCCGCCTCTGTGCTGGCGACGTCTGCAATGACGACCATACTTCTCCCCCAGGCTAGAACCTTTGTGGTGCCTGTAAGCTAGCGATACTGCACGTCAAAACAATAAACTTATTCGTATTATTCCGGCTTTTTCCTAAGGTCGAACGCGGATTTATAGTGACTGATAGATTGCGCCATAACAGCAAAGCAAAAAGTCCAGACAAATATGACGGCCAAGTGAATATTCCGGATTGAGTATTATCATTTTATTGCCGCCGTCCTACGCCCATATTCGATTATACACTCGAAGAGATGATATGCTCGAACAGCGCCCCGTTGCGTCCACATCCCACTGTAGTCTATCCAATTATCCGCTGCAATCTCTCACGTACGATCTCCAATCATACACATTCGTAGTAAGACTGTTTGTCACTACGAAAAATAGAAAAATCACTGACATCAACTGGCTCACTGTAATTTCGGTGTGTAGCAATTTGGAGAGTTCCCCTGTTTGACTACGGAAGGTTGTGGGAAATATTATCAAATTATGGTTTTATCAGGTACCTAGAAGTTAAGGTGGCTTGCTTGGTTGAATGTTGCTCACGTTTGTTTGAGTCAACACGCACACGCCTTTTCCGGTAGGGACGGGAAACGCTGTCTGTAACAGATCCGAGCATAACCTTTAGTGATCCCTAGAGTGAGGAGCTCGTTGAAACTCCATTACACTGCCATCGTTGTTTCCATTTCGTTTTACCTTCCCGTTTCGTTCGCAGCCATCACTCGTACTAGTTTTCCCCATCTACCAAGCTCAGGCTCGATCCCCTCGGCAGCTATGATAACGACATCCAGATCGCCACGAGGTGTTAGCCAGTCGCAGGTTTCATTTAGTGTGGTCGCTTACTAAATGGTTGTGATAAGAGCATCCCGCTGCCTACGAAATATTAGTTTTGCATTGCAGCCCCCAGGTCTATTACGAGCAGTGGACACGGAAGCCCTCGGAATCCCCGATCGGATACCTACTACACAATCCGCGGCCACCTTTGCAAGCCGAAAGCGTTTACATCCTTCCTAGTTATCTCTCCTCTTGGTGTCTTATTTTCAGCCGTAGCTAGCCTACCACCCGTTTAACAAAACTTTGCTTACCCTTTGTTTGTGTTCTTACGCTCAACTATGATCGGCCCTTATTCCGCGTATCCGATATATAGCGCGCGATCGCCGCACTATATGTACATCGACCATGACAAATTAAACGAAATGAAGGATTGGCAATGTTGGAGACTACGCAACAGTGAATGTGGACAACCGGAGTACTTTTGTCGGCACAACAATGTAAACTTACCTGATGCGATCACTGGAAAATTGTATTCTTTCGATAGCCTTCTCCAAACATGCGTTTTCTTTAGAAACTAAATCTGAGGCACCGATGAGGCTTAAAAAGTTAATAAAAAAACACGTTTTACTCGGTAGAATGACTAGTCGCACGCTCAAAGGAAGACTCCAGGGCTTTAAGCTCTTCCTCTAAACAAGCTTTAGAACGCTTCTTTGCATCTGCTTCCTTTACCAAAGATAGCAACCTGCTCTGAACGTCTAAAGCATCTGATAATGTATGATAAAACATTACCAGCAAGATGTGCCTTCTCCTCCTTTAGTTGGTTGCTCAGAAGATCCACCTGAAATCCTGCGAAGCTGAATCAAGGTTGCAAAGTAGTGTTACCGATAGAACTGACGAGGGACTCCACCTCCGACATTCCGCAGAAGACACAAATGAATTGGAGGGTAGTAATCCAAAACCACGATGTTCTATATGGAAATGGGAAGAAGAGGGTCTCAGTAGTGCAGTTCACCAGTCCCGATACCACGGGATACCTAGGCATCCGAAACCCGGGTGGGGATCTGACGGGTAGATGTTCATTAGTTTTATTACACTAATAGGTTGCTTTTGCGATATTATGCTAGCGGAAATATGTTTAAAATATGCACGCTCTAATACTTTCCATAAAAGTCGTAAGCCTCATGATATACAGGATATGGAGTTCGATGTACTTCAGTACGGTCGTTCTCCGGAATCTCTGATGCTGCTTACCACAAAATTCTATTTGAATCTTTATTCCGCAACATGCTTCGCTAACTAATATTACTGCACACTCTTAACCTAATACTCATATCGACATTATTAAATATTACCGATTTTATCAGCCTTCAGCCACTCAGTGTAAGCGATCATCCTAAGCACAAATGGACGGTCAGGTGTCAGATTACCTCGGTTTCCAGTATGTTGCAGTATGGGCTGTTCAAAGCCCATGACCGATGAGTATGGTGACATGCATTGCTATCTATGCAACTGCAGGTACCATGAGTCCTGTACCGACTTGAGCTCTGGCCAGTACGTAATGCTCGCGACTGGCGATAGCATGCTGTTCAATTGCCCTGTATAGCATTGTCGTCGATCAGGGCTTCTTGATGTCACAAGGGAGGCACCGAGCAACGTCGATCTGGGTAATCAGTAGATGTGGTGTTTCTTCGCTTCTCTTAAACGTAAAGTAGAGTTACTTATGAAGAAACTAGGAGCCTCAATCGATGTCGGCTCATTGGGCGAAGCCATTCAGCCAATTTCACCTTCTGTCGATGAGTATCCGACTGAGGTGACGGCCACCGTGTCGTATGCTCCATTCCAACATCACGTTATCTTGCTTTTTCCATCATCATCATCATCATCATCATCATTACACGTTAGCTGGAGGTGGAAAACACCTCAGCTATTGTGCCGCAATACAGAACGCAAGAAAAGAAAAATAAACAAACAAACAGTGGCACGCCCGCTGAGTCCCCAGTAACGGATGGACATCGTTCCGGAGAGCTAACAGCTGGCTGCCGTAAAAGAAAGTCATATTATGCCTAACGATTGAGATCGTGATTGGAGGGGGATGCTAAACAGGAGAGGGATGGACAAAGGAACTCACAACACAAACGCCATTGGGGCCGGCTCCTAGCCATACCACCAAGTGTGTCCAATCAAACGTGTTCACCGTCCTTAGAACCCCAGCCAGGCAGTCGGGATGCACCAACCGACGCCAACTTCGAAGTGAGGGTTTTCATTTCTCTCGACCAAGTCATCGCTTGGCCTCCCTTTCTTCTCTTCCAACCGCACTCCCGGCGCACAAACAATGCACGTTGTGCGAGTCGGTGTGCTGGTATGCGCAACACGTGGCCCAGACATCGGAGCCTGATGCGTGATGGTATGGTGCTGGGCGGTTCACTCGCTCTTCCTGCACCAAATACGCGACGCCGAACACGCTCATTGCTCACGTGGTGCTCCCACCAGACATGAGCTAAGCTGCGAAGGCAGCGATGATCGAAAGTGACTAGCATCTTTATGTCCATCGACCTGATGGGCCAGGTTTCACAACCATATGAGGGTTGAAGGAACGGCTGCATTATACACTCCACCCTTCAGGGATAAAGTGATGTCGTCTGCAGCACAGGTGTGGCGGAGATTGACAAAAGCACATCGAGCTTTTGCTATACGGTTCGCAATCTCATCTTCGATCCCAAGGGCACTAATATAGCTGCCCAGGTACTTGAATTCCTGAAGGACTTCCAGCTGATCACCAACGAGGGTCAGCATAGGAGTGGGTCCCTGCCAATCTTGGAGAACTTTGCATTTCGATGGAGCAAAGCATAGCCCAAAACGATTGACAGCCAGTGCTAATTGGTCCAGTGCAGCCTGGCACGTTTGGGCGCTGTCACATTTGTGGGCAGTGTCGTCATCATACTCCAAGTCAAGAAGTCGCTCACCAGAAAGTAGCTCCACAGCTTCTAGGTCGTGTCCTGCGAACGCTGTTTCTATAACTTCATCAATAGTGAAATTAAAGAGGAAAGGTGAAAATGGGCAACCTTGTCTCACGCCGCTGGAGATTTTGAAGGGCAGCGACAGATTGCCGCAAACCCTCACTCTACTCGAACTATGCGAGTACGGTGCTTTGATAAGGTTAACATACTTATCGGGCATACCTTTTCTCAGCAGACAGTCCCAAAGGGCTCATCGATTCACCGAATCGAAGGCACCTTTGACGTCAAGAAACGAGATAACGGTGGGTCGCCAATGAATATGGCAGTGCTCCAAAAATTGACGCAAAGTGAAGATGTGGTGGATGCAGCCTCGATTTTGACGAAACCCGGCTTGCTTTCCGCGGATCTGGCGTTCACGAGCACCAGTCAATCTGGGGAGAACGACAGAGGCAAGTAAATTGGAGGCAACTGAGATCAGACTGATCCCTCTATGGTTGCCGCATTTCGAACGGAATCCTCCCTTGAAAAGTGGAACTATGATGGAGCGGTTCCAGTCTGTCAGGACAGTCTCTTGCTCCCAAAGTTCCATTAGCAACTCGTGTAAATCATCCACAAGAGCAGGTCCCCTGAATTTGTAGAGAGTTGGGGGAATTCTATCGGCACCAGCGGCCCTATGCAATTTCAGCCCGATCTCATGTTCAACTTCTGTGCGTGAGGGCGGATCCAAAGAGACTGCGCCTGGGATACTAGTCGGTAATCGGTGACACGTAAGAGACGTGTCAAATAAGAGACCGGACAGAAGTTGGAGGTGACTGAACCCAACGTATTTTGTGCAGGCTACAAAATAGGAGCGAATCAACTAGAGTGAGAAACATTGAAGCAAGGTACTCACCAAAACGCTTTGTGTCAACAGATGTGCAGTCAGTAAAACAAATGGATGTTTTGAAGGTTAAAACAGCCGTAAAATCCAATGTTGCAAAATACCAAAACAGCGTGTTTTCCGGTACACTACAAAGCCCCCCCTAGAACGCTGAAAGATGGAAGCCTTCGATGGAGCTATTAGTGAAGGAAAATGGAAGGTGAGGACGGGTGCGAATAGTTGCATGGGCTTGAGTATGGGCTTCCAAGGTGGGGTGTGTAGAAGAGTTCGCTGGGTCCATACTTTGGTTAGTTAGCATTTATGATGATCGTGTGGACCAGAGTGCATCATCGGTGGGCCGTCGGGGCGGGCTGGTCGGACTGCAAAAAAAACTGGCTAGTCCAGAACAAAGGCCGAGAGGACGCTCCCTTTGCTGCAGACCCGACGGTGCGCTTGGGAGGTCACTCCCCCCCACCCCACTTTAGTCCACGGTCCTCGTCCCACGATGAAATCCAGATGTCCTCGTCCCACGAAAAAATCCGGCGTCCTTGTAGGCAACACCAAGCTAGGCGTTTGGGGATCAATGCGTTCGTGGCTGTCTGCGACCGACGGCAACTGACTGTTGCTTCGTGCATGAAGGTGGTCTTGGGTTGGCTGGCGAGCCACTCGCGGGTTGCGTTGAGCCGATTGGTGAGTCATTCAAAGAGTGGCCTTGGCAATTCCAGCGGTTGAGTTTCTGAAAGGTAGAACTCAGAGGGGGTGGGCAAGGGCCGCGGAAAGTGGCTTGACGCCGGAGAGGGTACATGGGATGCATGATAAAAGCAAATACGCTTTATAAGTTTTCAAAATGTTTTGGGTTTAATGTCGATGTTGCAAAACGTTTGTGGATGAGACGCATAATTACCACTAGAGACGAAAACTGCGGGTTAATGGAAATAGCAAACATTTACGAAATCTGAAAAACGAACCGGACGTTTGACCTGTCCAACGCGTCGGTCGGTTGCCTGGGGTTGAGGGTCATGGGGAACGGAGGGTTTAGGGATATCCAGTGCTCGGGAAGTCACCACAGGTGCGGGTGCTTGTGTGATAGCATCAGGATGGGTAGCAAGTGGTTCGTCAAAGTAAGCCACTTTAAGGCGGTCGACGGACACCGTTGTTCGGTGACCATTCTGGTCTAAAGTAAAATATTTCAGAGTCCGTTGCAGAACTCTGAAGGGGTCAGTGTAGGGAGGCTGGAGAGGGCGCCGCACTGCGTCGGTGCGAAGGAAAACGTGAGTGCAGGTAGAGTCCGCTGTGAAATGCACATCTCTAGTCTGTTCACGGGGCGGAGTCAGGCGTATTGAACGCATGCGTTGAGCTAAGGAGGAAGCAAAGTTAGGCAGAGGCATACCCGACGATGCGAGAGGTTAAACGAATTCTACAGGCAACTTTAGCGTCGTACCGTAAACTAGCTCTGCTGGCGCACACTGCAAGTCAGCTTTGATGCTGCTGTGGATGCCTAAGAGTACGAGCGAAACGTTTTCGCTCCAGTTAGGGTCGGAGGAGGCGCAGAGTGAGGCTTTAAGCTGTCAATGGAAGCGTTCAACTAACCCGTTGGTTGTTGGGTGGTACGCTGTGGTATGAATGCAGCGGCAGCCTAAAAAGTTGCAGAACGTATCGAATTGTGAAGGTTCGGAAGGCGTTCCTCGGTCAGTTGTAATGGTGGATGGGCACTCGTAATGCGAGACCCACCGGTCCAAGAAGGCCCGGATAACAGTCTCAGCCGTGCAGTCTGTTATGGGGATGGTTGCTGGTCATCGGGTGAAGCGGTCTACACATGTATACGATGTATACAATGTATACGAATCCGCGTGACGGAGGCAATAGACCTACCAGGTCTAAGTGTACATGCGAGAACCGAGTCCGGGGCAGGAAATGAACCAAGAGGACTGTGGGTGTGACGATGTATTTTGGAGCGCTGGCATTGAAGGCAGGCGCGAGCCCAGGTACGAACATATTTCTTTACGCGTGGCCAAACGAAATGTTCAGTGATCAGTTTCAAAGATGCACGGATATCGGGATTTGATAGCGAGTGCAGTGCGTCAAAGACTGTGTATCTGGAGGAAAGGGGCACGAGGGGTCTAGAACAATCTGTGGAAGTGTCACAGAGAATG